ATAAGAGAACGGGCAACGCGCATGGTTTGTTTAACATTGTAAAAACTCGGGATATACTTCGGTATTTTCAAACATCGATATGATACGACCTGTAGCTAAACAACTATGCTTTTAATTATTTTTCTAAATATCAAAAGAGATTTTTGCTCTTATGCTGCGACAGAAAAAGCAGCAACATTTCTTCTCACATTTGTACGTTTTTACTTGTAAAGAAAAATTCCAATATATTAAATGCCCCACCTTCTCTGTTTTTTGCATCAACATTGCTTCGATCATGACGTGCAGAAGGCAAGTACATTTATATTCGCACGATATATATGAAATTTTTTTATAATATTCAAGATTCTGACATTTATTTCTTTTCAGGATGCCTTACATCGCACGAAAATGGTCCAATTAGCCGATTTGTTTTCGGTACCGGAAATGAGTTTATTGTGCAACGTTACGGAGTACTTCATACAGAATCATATCGATTACCATCCGGAGATACTATTTAGGGACGTTAAGGTGAGCAATCAAAGTATAATTTTGCTAATTGGTTTTATAATAAAGTTTATGCAAATCTTTATAGAATTCTGTGCAAAGCTGCCATCCTGTAATGCATCAACTAGTAGCGGAAAATGTGTCTGATTACCTGGAACAGAATAAAGATTTGAGAAGATTTTTCGATCGACTTCGAAATGCCGGCAAGAAGATGTTCCTGGTGACAAACAGTCCTTTTCAATTCGTGTATGTTTCTCAAGTGTTGGCAATCTAAATCATCAATTAAATAAAATCTATATAATGTTTATGCATATCACTATAATTACTAATTGTTAATGTTAATATGATTTTTGCAGTAACAAGGGCATGCAGTTTCTGGTCGGCGAAAATTGGAAGAATTATTTCGACGTGGTGATCGTTCAAGCGAGAAAGCCAAGATTTTTTACCGAGGAATCGCGCCCCTTGAGAATCTACGATGAAGTTAAACAGACGCAATTATGGGATCGGGTCACTAAACTCGACAAGGGTATCGTATATCTTGAGGTAACTTTCTATTTTGATATCCTAGAAAATTATATATTTATAATTATGCGCATATATTACATGTATATATATATTAACCGCGGAACTGTTTTAGGGAACAGTTAAACAGTTGCAAGACATGACCGGATGGCGAGGACATCAAGTATTGTACTTTGGCGATCATCCATACAGCGATCTGGCGGACGTGACTTTAGAGCATGGCTGGCGAACGGGAGCGATAATAAAAGAATTGACGGTAATTTAAGCAGAATTCCTATTAATCCTTTTTGTACGAGGCTAATTTGCTTCCGAGAAAGAATGTTGATGCGCTGAATTTAATATAAATATAATGTACGATGTATATAAAGGGTTATAAATTACATTACAGCACGAAATCGAAACCTTGAATGATCCAAAGTTCAAGGAAAGCGCGAACTGGCTTCAGATGTTAACTGGTCTAATTGAGGAACATCAGGATTACGAAGGACACGAAGTGCAAAATGAACTGGACGAGTGGATAAAGGAACGGGATCAATTGAGAAACGAGATTAAATATGTTTTCAACAAACAGTTCGGCTCGGTGTTCAGAACATATCATAATCCGACTTATTTTTCAAGGAGACTGTTCAGATTCGCTGATATCTATATGAGCTCGATCACAAATCTGTTAGAATACTCCACAAGTCATACGTTTTATCCCAGGAGAGGTGTGATGCCTCACGAGTATACTAGTTACTTCGTATAAAATGTCTATATTTTTAGAAATATTCGTTTCTCTCTTATATAAGTACTTTTAGAGCGTACGATCAAAATATTTCGCGTTGCAGAATAGTATTTTCGATCATGAGAAAAGCTGATATATTCGAAATCACAATGTAAAGCCTTCATAACGGAGAATCACTAATTCCGCGCAAAATACTTCCGCCTTATTATTAGATATGCATGCGTAATTTACGTGTACATATAATATGAATCTATATCGATCAACGTTAATGCGCTTTTACAGCCATGTAGTTACAGGTTAATCTGCATTGAAATGTAATGTATGTAAACGCGATAAAACGGACGGGCGTATAGATCACGAAGGCTCTTACGTTATTATTATTACCATGACAATAGCCATATTATGTAAAATGAAAATACATCATGTTATAAGGATTCCAGCCAGAAATAATCCGTCGAATCAATGTCGATTTGATCGAATCGATGTGTTGATGAATCGTCGCTGTCGAATATTGAGTGATATTTTCAGTATTTTGTGTAAAAATTGTTCCTATCATAATTTTTTTATGTTAATTGAGCAATTGCGAATATTTCTGTTAGATTTCTGTGTTTTGGTCAATTTACTATATCAAATACAATGGGTGCGTTCCGTTTCACGCATGATGCATCACTTATCCTTGTTTAACATTCGGTGAACAACAAGGACAAATGATGCATTATGCGCATGATGCGTAACGGAACGCACCTAATATATATTTATTACTGTGCTTTTCGATTTTACATCAATTTGATATAGAATTGACCGCGCAAAAGACAATAAAAATCTTATAGAAATATTCGTAATTGCTCAATTAGCATAAAAATAACTATAATATAGTCGATGATGAAAAAAATATAAACCTATATCGACTATTCATCGATGTATCAACATTAACATCAAATCGTCAATTCGACTAATTTCTGGTTGGAGAGTAAAATGTATACTATGTATAGAATAGGAAACGGCGTAAAAGTCGATCAGCTATACGCAAAGTATTATTGAGCTATAAAACTCGTTATATATTTTGAGATTAAATAATTTATTTTTCATAATTTATGTAAGAAAGAGAGAGAATGCGCTTTTGCGCAATTAGAATGAAATATAAATTTTGAAGAGAATGTTAATTTAGATCGTGTCGATACTCAATTATTTTTGCAATGAGATTGATATTTACTGTTATACGTGCATAATAAATACGTTACCGTGCATGATAAATTTAAATTTTAACTTGTAATATATTTATGAATATGCCGTATATCGTGAACAAGTACAAACGTATCGCGCGTATGCAATTTAATTTTTATCCGGCATTTATAAAAAGAAAGAATGCAATTTAATTAATATTAACTTTCCTTCTAACAAAAGTTCCTTCTAAGTAATCTAATTAATCTTATTCCTTTCTGTATGAAAATGTGCATTAAAAGCAAACGTTCGTTTAAAGTTTAAACTCATCAATGTAAAACAAAATTATTTGTTATCACGGACCTGATTGATACTCAGCATATTCAAAAATATAGTCGTTAAGATAACCGTGTGTTCAAAAGTATATATAAATGTAACTATTATTAAACAAAAAATGCTAAAGTATATTTATTTAGTATCTTTGTAGACGAAATGTATTATTGTTGCTAAATATATCTTTATTTTCAATACAACTGATTAAGTTTCTATGTAAACATCACCAAGATAAAAGCATCTTTCAATCTCTGTCTGTCACGTTAACTGATATTTCTTTGTTTCCAATTTGCCTTTCAAATTTTTACAAACTTGACGCAGCAAATTTTATATAGCAATATGACTTGGGAAGATATTAAACCAAAGATCTCAGTGCCATTATTTTGTGCACTTGCACTCTGTATATTCCTGGCAGATATTTTAATTGACGAGAAAAAATAATTAGGAACGGAAAGTAATAATAAAAAGGTTTGTACAAATATGGTTAAATTTCTGATAGCAATCATTTTCAATCCTAGAATATGTATCTTGATTCATACCACTTTTCAAGGAAAATGATTAAATAATCTATATATTCTAGTATAATACTAAATAAATATAAGCAACATTGCATGCAAATACTTAAGCACATTTTCTATAAAGTATAATTTAGTTGTATCAACTAATTCTCTCTTTTCTCTTCTTTTTTTTATTTATTTTCATATTTTATATAAAATGGCATATATCATTATATAATACTATGTGTATTTATGCTATTTTAGCATATCCCGATATGATGGCAAATGAACTGGAAATAATCCGAGACGGACAAGCATTTCAAAAGGAAATCGCGCTGAATAGATTATCATCAATAACTTTTCAACAAGCTCGTAGAAATGTAATTCATGTCAATGACGTATCAAGTACACATACCATCGAGAAAACGCTGAAAGAGTCCACTGACATGTTCATCCAAAATTTAGACAAAATCTCTAAGGTGGATATTAAGGATGAAAAAGTAAAATAACATTTTATTGTGTTTATCTACATAATTGACATATATTTTTCAAAACTTACTACTTGTTTAATGTATATTTCATTTATAATTTTATTTAATTTTGCCGTGTAATACGAAAAGGATCTAAACAATTAGAATGCACATTGATTTTAATATATATGTATAACATATTAAAATACCACAATATATCAAATTATTAATAAAATTCTATCCAGAAATCTGACATGTGAATTATAGACTATTATCTAAATCTGAACTTGATACTTATTATTCAGTCATTACATTTCATCAAGCCTGGAACGCCTTTGGAACCTCCAGAATCGCCTGTTGGCACACTATCGTCAAAAACAGAAGATTCGAAATCAGAAGATATCGAGGTGCGGAGTGCAGAGATGGAAATTTCGCCGGTCGACTCTTTCACACCGCTAGAAGCGGCCGCTATATCTTGTGTCCTCGAGGAGTGTTTGGATCAGCTTGCCATAATCGGATTCATGATACCGGCCAATGTCGATCCACGCTGGGACGAGACGTTTAAGACGATCGATGAAACATATGGGGTGCCTGATGAACCTAGAATGATTTTCAGAGAAGACATGGGCCTGTTACCAGTCGTACCCACAGAGGCTGAAAAAATGCAGAGAGACAGGTGCGCAGAAACACACTCGTACACATTATAACACTTGCGCAAAAATGTATTCTACATTCTATTGCTTGGATATAACTGGCAGGTGTGTAAAGTTCCTTTAAAAAATATCACATGATCTTACAAAGATAACGTTAAGATAAGAATACGTTACTCCAAGATACTTTTTTCGGAGCTTTGCATATGTTAAACTTTTTGCAAAAATGTCTTGCCCTCCCGTTATCCTAGCTGTAATGGAAGTAAGAAACTTCAAAGGGCAGAATTCGCTTCGGACAATCGCTGATTTGCTTTCACTCCTTCAATAAATAATCTATATTTAGGAACTATGTGTGTGAGGTCCTCAAAAAAGTCCTTCACGAAATAAGGACCCATGGGAGGTTCGACAGTCTGCAAGAAGAAGTTGATAATATCGCGAAGAAAGAAGAAGGCGAACGCAATCTCGAAGAGAGCGCCCAGAAATGGCTCAGCCAAGCTGAACAGCTTCGCGAGCAGCTGGAATCCGACAAAAAAGCGAACGAGGAAGAGAGGCAAAGGACGATAGAACTCGCGCAGGAAAGCGACGCGCGAGTCGACCACGCGATATTCTTAAACAGCGGGAAATTGGGTAACGCATAATTCATATAAGTGCGCTTTTTGCTGGTTCTGATCGAGTATATTGTACTCAGGCTACGCGGAAAGATGGGCGAAAGCCAGATTGGAACAGCAGGAACTCAAGCTGCAATTGCAAAAGAAAGATATGCTGAACAAACTGAGCGAATATTCAAAGGAGTACAATGCGGAGCAGATCATCTCGGCTGAAATGAGTGCTTACTTAGAAGCGGACATCAAAGAGAAAGAAGAGCAGATAGATATGTGGACGAAGAAATACAACGAGGAGATTGTGGAACGGCAGCTTGAAATCGACGAGTTCAAGGTATATCCAGAAATTAATAGAGAGTAGTGGAATAAATAATAATCCTTACAGTATATATATTTTTAATTGAAAATAAACATAACAAACATACAAAAAATGAAAATAAAAGAAAAAAGAACAAAATAAGTTTTTTAGTATAATATGCCATGATAGCGTGAGCTTTTAAATGATGACTCATGACCATCTTGATCCGCTGATAGCGACTGATAGAAGAACAAAAATTAGAGATGGAGAAAATGCGCGCTACAATGGACAAACGACAAAAATTTATCGACGAATGTATCGCCGAGGAGGAAGTGTTGAAAAAGGAAGAGAAGCTAAATAAAGCCGCAACTATTATCCAATCGATATGGAGAGGTCACATGGTGAGGCAACAATTAGGAAAGTACAAAGGTCTGCGAAAACGATTGAAAAAGCGGAAGAAATTAAGCCAGAAAAAAGAGGTCGATAAAAAAAAGAAAAGACAAAGAGTACACCGAAGAAAAAAAAGAGGACTTTAGTGCCTGAAAAACTACAGAGAGTTTGATAATTTATTATTGTAAAGAGTTACCGCTTTCTTTACACACTCTAATAATGCCTTCGAAGTATCTGTATAAATTATTCAAATATATTTTTAAACAAATATCAGAAATACAGTATTTACATGAAGGTCTGACTCACACACATGCAAACATGACAAGCGCACAGCATTGTTCTATACATCATTTGAACATTACCGAGTACGAATCCCGTACGCGAAAGTAATGATATAAATATATCGGCTCAGTATCGTACTCGATAAAGGCATAAACGTCTCTCGGACTTATTCGATCTAGTTGTTCGCACATTCTCAAGCTAAAATGAACAGCCGCTGAAGCAATCAGTGGCAGTGTGATAATCACTGTACATCCCGTCCGTATCGCGATATACGCGGGAGATAATCACGATTTTTTTTACCAGTAATATACAGATCGGTAATGCGATGATAAAATTACATGCGACAAAACGTCTATGTGCGAGCCGAAATAGATTATATTCATCGCTCAGTCTGCACGTACTAGAGAGTACTGTATTACAAATTTTTTTGCGGTAGACGAACTAGTGCGGGCGATTAAATCTACCTTAGCGTCTTATCAAATGCGTGCCGAGATAGTTGCGTTGCCCGGTATCGCGAGATGGCCACTGATCTCTCGACATCAGTCTATCGACACGTCGACACAATTCGTGCACATAGAATCTTCTCAGTCCGTCTAATAATCGGGTTAAACACGTGCGATCTCCATCGAGACGAGGTAGCGAAATAAAATTCGGGCTAGGGCGAAGTGAAGATCGTCCGTCGCGGACGAAGCGACACGCGCGCGCAAGCACGCACGCGTTTGAGAATGGTAATTTCGCTATCACGACGAGATTTGCGGCGTGTTTAATTGAAGTGGAACTTAAATTGGAAGGGAGACCCGTGGAAGTGGTGGAACTCCTGGAAGGGATTGAAGCCCTGCTGGTGTCGGCCCGATTCCGGATCCAGAGGATCCTCGCCCTGATCGAATTTCGCCCTCTTCTCGTCGTCCGTGAGGACCTCCTTGGCGGCGGCGATGTCGATGAACTTCTTCTGCGCGCGTTTTTTCTCGTCGCCCTCCTGGAAATTATCGGGATGCCACTTCTGCGCCGCTTTCCGATAAGCCTTGATGATATCCCGCTTATTCGCCGTCCTCGAGACGCCCAAGATCTTATAGTAATCTCGCGACTCCGATATCTTTTGCCGTTGTTGCGCTTTTTGCAGTCCCTGTTTGGCTCTTTGGAAGTTTGAATCTATCTCTAATGCATCCTTGAACTCTCTGATCGCTAATGAAGGAAAAAAAAATTTATTCATTACATCACAAAGTGGTAGAATTCTATACATACTTCGATACTATAAAATATACAAGACTAAATTACCATCGTCGAACAATTCCGCGGCAAGATACGCCTCTGCGCTGTCGCACAGCACATTCGGTTCCCTCCTGATGTTTAACGCCTGTTGGCAATTATTGATCGCCTGAGTCGTCTCAGAAGTTTCCGCGTAACATCGGCAGAGGTAATGGTAAGCCGTAAACTGTACTTTCGGCTCATTCGGCTCTTGCGTCAATGCACGATTAGCCGAATCAATGCACACGTCATAATCCTTATCCTCCAGCGCTGTCTCCGCGTCCTGCAGCAACTTCTTTATCTTCCTAATCTTCTTATAAAACGGGAAACATTGCTTATGGTCTGGATCGAGCTTCAAACATTCTCGAATCTCCCTAAATATTTATTCCAAATTAGTGCTGCGTTTTAACAAAAGTATCAGCGATTATTCTCACGGTAAAATTGCTCACTTTAATGCCTCGTCAACGTCCCCGAGACGGTACAGCCACGTCGAGAGCTTGAAGAAACCCTCCGTATTATCGGACAGCAATTTTGTAGTCGAACGTATGTCGGATATGGCGCTCATAAAATCTCCAAGGGCAACATGGCTCTCCGCCCTGCGTTCCCTCAAATAAGAGGACCACGGGCATATCTCGATGAGTCGAGTGATCTGTTGCACAGCTGCCACATGATCGCCGTCGTACACAAATATATCGACTAATTTCATTTCTTCCCTAGCTGGGTATAACCTATCTAAGGCATTCAAGGCATCCCTATTATTTGGTTCTAATGCTAGCTGGAATGAGAACAGAAGGCCGTGAGTCGTTCGTCCGTAAACTGTACAGTACGTAATGTAAAAACATAAATGTAAACACGAAGGGGATAACGTACCACGTTGCGAAAGTCGCTTTCAGCCTCGTCGAAGTGGGCCTGCTTGAGTAAAATGTTGCCGCGCTGCAGCCTCGCTGGCGTGAAATCCGCCTTCAATTCCAGAACCTTGTCGAGATCGAGGAGGGCAAACTTGGCTTTGCCAAGCGCTAAATAAACCGTGCCTCTCTTGTAGTACGTCAGGTAATTGCTCGGGTCCCCCTCTGAAAGAAATTCGCTCTTGAACACCGGCGGGACCGTTCTCCTCCTCTCTGACACAAGGTCAGCTGACAACGTTAGGAGCTTTCCAGCAAGCGACACAAGTGTCCACACAAGTGTCTTTGTTACTCATTGTCAAAAAAGAAAGATTGAACGACGTTTACGTCGACTCATGTCGCTTGCTGGAGAGCTCCAGTTTAAAAGACCAAGCGCAAATTCGGGGGGGATTCAACCTACCAACGGCTGCGTGGTAGTGTGACAGGGCATCCTGCAACTGGCCCTTCGCCAGGAACTCCCTACCGTACTCCAGATGTTTCGTGATCTCCGACTGCGAGACACTTCCGACCACTAAAAACGAGTCAGCCGTTATCAGTCGCTCATCGGAGAGACGGGCTGGTTTTTATTCAAAAGGGTGAGAAGAGGAGGTTAGGGTACGTACCGTCGAGGGTTATATCCAGCAATGCCACTATCAGGAAACCGTACATGACTGGGGGAGGAAAAAAATCAGTTCCACCGATGTGCTATGCTGTAAACAAGGAGACTAACGCGCTCGGCACCGCCAGATCGACACCTAACCATCCGATAACGCAAAACCGTTCAGCCACGCCGCCATTGCGATCGTGGTCTTATACGATTGGTGAAACCGCGAATCGTGTCTCTCCCACTAATGAACCAGGAGTCAGATAACCTAACCCCTCGCGGCGGGGGAGATAAATGTCGGAAGCTCGCGCGAAATATAGAGTTCTTTATGTAAATCTCGGATATCGTCCGGACAATTTTTTTATTGATCCGCTCGGGACTAATTAAGAAATTTATATGTTTTACCATTATTTATTTCACAGATTTAGTAATGTGGTAAATAGTCCAAAACAAATACGCTAGTACAAATTACAATAAATTTTCTCTTATCAGTTCTTTATATTTATGTTAAAACTAATTTATCAATATAACATTTTATTCAACTCGTATTGTCGGCCATTTACCACAATACTCCCTTGCGTTGCATAAAACGAGCCTAATAATGATCCAATAATTTTTACAGATTTATTTAGCCTGAGAGTGGGGGACTAAACTCTTACTCGAGGAATTCTAAACTTGGGGAGCAAACTTTGACTAAATCTCCAATTATTATGTATGATTTATCGTCCCTAATCTGATCTTTAAATTGATTGCTGGTCAATCCACAATTTATAGAATTGCTTGAAACAAAATTTGTATAGTTTCTTGCTCGTGATCCAATTTTTTCTACCCGTCAAAAGACAAGTGATAATAATACTATTTCCACATTAATGAAATAGGACGGGTAGACCGGGTACTACCGTGATAAACTGATTATTATAATTAAGTTAATTCGTAACTTGGACGGCCACTTTAAAATAAAACACACACCTCGCACGCGACGCGAATCAATTTAAAAAGATTACATACGTTAATATCTATTCTTATTAAAGACTGCCCAAACAACCACTGTACATTTCAATATTTTGAAGATTAATTAGAGAAAATTAAAGTCTAATGCAAGATTGAAGATTAACTAAAGATTCTATACAATGCAAGCTCTTGCTGAGGAATAATCGAACTTGAATTCTCGTAATTACAGGTCGCATGTATAATTCTTCAACATCCGGCACGAAGAGAGTGGCCACACAAGACGATTATAAAAGACTTAATTACTTTTCCTCGATACGCAAAAATGTCGGAGCACGCAGGTGCAAGGGAAGCGACGAAAGAGAAGCCACACGCCTTGATCCTTTTGTAATCTTTATTATATTCATTTTTGTAGAAGTCTCCTGTCACTCTCTCTTCCTTCTCTTCGCGTAATACTATAAATAAACGGAAAAATTCACCGAATGAAAGAACATCGAATTAATATGTGATCGTCCCGTATGAGGTAATTTCTTTTTTTTTTTTTGTAACAATATTGACACTCTACATCAATTCTTCACGAGCATACGTTTTAAATATGCCTATATACACACGCGACAAGCGCGTGTACCAGGAAGAGCGTCTGGAACGCTGAGAAAGTGAGGAAAAGAGGAATCGAAGAAATGTAAAGGAAGAAAAAGAAAAGAGAAACGCGCGCAGGGAGATTTATTGCTAATGAAGAATAAATATACGACGCATGCTGATGAACCTCTTCCTTCTTCCTCTTCGATCAATTTCTCTTCTCCCCTTCCCCCCCGTCTCTGGAGACACTCTCCTTCCGTCAATTTACCCAACGTGCACATATATATGTGCGTATTGTGTATATATATCATATACAAATACACACATATAGCCGTGCAACAGTTCATCGGAACATTCGGTAATCTTTGTTCGAATATTCGGTTTTTTTCGCCTCTACATTAGCGCGTGTAAATGTGCAAATTATTAAATAAGAGACCGACAGAATGGTACGTTCACCGTTCCGTTCAAAGACACCCCTCCCGCACTGGGCAATGCGAGTGAAGTGATTAGTATAGTATCATTACGGTTACAAGTTAAATAACGCGTGAGGAGTGTGTCGCGCGACGCATCGTACGCATGTCGCCCGCCCCTCCGCCGGGGGGGGGGGGGGGCCCCCCCCCCCCTTTTTTTTTCGCCGCACGCAGCAAAAATTGAAATTTTTCCTTCCTCCTTTTGCCTCCCGCGCCCACCTCTCGCATCTCCCCCAACGATCCGATTACATGCGCACGATTATGCCGTCCTCGTACCAAATCGAAAAAACGCTCGGAACAAGTTAGAAGACGTTTTTTTTGCCATCCCACCTCGCTGCTGGCGCTCCTCCGGAGGAACGGGCGCGCTTCTCTCATTTTTTTCTGGTGTTCTCTCACCCCCGCGAAAATCCGCGCTCTCGTCACCTCCCAAGGGGGAGGACGCGCAAGAGTGGAGAAACCACGGAGAATGCGCGCGCCCGTTCCTCCTCTCGTCGTCGGGAATCGAGCCCGATCGAGCGCGCTTATAAATGTAAAATAATAAAAAATACAAGACTACTCGCACGTGAACAATTTGCGCCGCGACTCGCCGGCGACCAGCCCCCTCCCCCGTCTCGTCCGGCGTTCAATAGTATTGTATTTGTCGCGCGCGCATTCGCGTTTTTACATTTTCATACGATGTGCAATGTGTTCCTCTGCGGAATTTCCTCTCCCTTCTTCGATAATGATTGCAGTCACAGTCAACGCCGCTTTTCCCTTCTCCCTCTGTTTTTATTATTTTTATTTTTCCCCTCGTTCCCTTTGATGCCTGTGTTCGTTCGATTAGCCCCTCTCTCATTCTCACACTTCTCTCACCCCAACCTTTTCTCTCTTCCCTCGCACTATACTCTTTAAAATTAATCTTTCGTCTGATCATATATTCCGTTCTTTATAACTGTAATCCGTAAAGTGTTTTCTTTTATTTATTTTTCCCCCTAAGGCTGCTCGTCCGATATACTTCAGAGGACCAAACATGAGAAAAGAACGTGTACAGTACAGAAGACATACATTTACTGTTTACCTTCCGAAACGTAGAAAATAAATACTAAATCGATCAATAAATAATAATCGCAGTTATCGTTCTCTATTTCTCCTAAGTATGCTAATACGCTATTAAAAAAAAAAAAAAAAGAAAAAAAAAGAAGTCATAGTACCGCACGTTTAAATTTTATACACATTTATGTCGGTTTACTACACGGTGGACATTTTGACTATCTTGCAGGAACGTTCGACAATAATCAGGTTTCGACGTTAACGTCATCGCGGGAGAAATAACGAAGCGAAAGTTTCTCTGCCAATCGGTGATCGATATACCGATCGTGGACGCTGTCACGTTGAAGGGAAAATTATTTAAGTTAAGAGGACAACACGCGGAAGTGGCGTACGTTGTAATCGCCGGCCGCTCGAAATGTATCCCTCTCTCTCTCTCTCTCTGCCCACCATGTAAGTCGGAAAAGAAAAAAAAAGCGTTCGTTTCGAAATGCAATAGGGACTGATTAAAAACGCGGGCGCGACACGCGATCGCCGCGTCCGCGAAATGCCTAAACGCATCGTACAGTTGAACTTTTAACCCTTGGATGCGTGGCCTCCTAATGGGATAAATTTTCAAATCGCGAACGATATCGACAAAAGAATTACCTAAGAAGAAAGAAAAGGTCTCGAAGTCCCATCCCGTTTTCATGCATCCAAGAGTTAACGATAAAAAAAATATTTTATCGTGTATGTTTAAATTTGATCCGTTACGCAAATCTGCCTTTGTTCGCCAAAATTTCAAATTCTCCCCGTGGGAATCGGGAACTCTACCGATACCTTTTCCTTCGTCACTTTTTATAAAATAATACAAAATAAAATAGGAAAGAAGACGCAAGAGAAGCCTGCGTGTACGTAACAGTCTCGGAACCGACGCGGAGTCTTCCCTACGAAAATGATATACACGTTGCCGTACACGAGAGATCGGCACGGCGTGAATGAACGATATCGCCGTCCGCGAAAGGATTCTCCGTAAGTAACGTTCTTGGCGGGGCCTCCGAGAGCTGACGTGATAATAGCCTCGATGACGAATCGTATTAAAAAATTTGAGAACACTCGCACCCAACGGTCGGAAGCCAACGATATCTTTTTTTTTTTTTACCTCGTTAAACGCTACCCCAACCCCTTTGAATGCTCTATGATGAAATAATTATTCGATCCCTCTCGTAAAAGAGGCATTCACACCTTGGTCCACGGTCACACGGCATACGATTCCACGCACGCGAATTGCACTATTAAATCTAGTAATATAACAGGTATAAGTATGACATGTCTAAAAATCCTGTCGGTTGTGACGCAAATCGAATTTGTACTTTTTCCCCTCACGTAGTAGATTAGATAGACGAAGAACCCGACGTTTTTTTCTTTTATTTTTTTTTAGCACAAAACGATATCGACATCCTACAAAGCCCTATACCCAACGTCATCATTCAACCGGTAAATGACTCGCAAGCTCGCGTCATCTATTATATCGTTTAATGCGCGTTTACTTTAAGCAGAAACAATGCCCTAGAAAGGTCCCCCGGGACCGCCAAGAGCCTAGCGTTCAGCCCTCCCCGATCGGACAACAGCCACGTTGTCTTGTGTTGTGTTAACTGTTTTAACGACTTAATATTCTTGTTCTCAGCTCAAACAACCTGAGCTAGTTCACCTTCCCGACATTCAATACCGATTAATTAATACACATTTATTTGTATTTGTTATCCCGTTAATTGTTCGTTTCATCAATTCGCGTGGAAATTGAATGTCACAAGATCGTTCGATATCACAGTCGTTTTTCAATTATTTTAGTGTTATGTATTTATATATATAACGCGCGTATCATACTGATAAATACAGCTAGAAAATAACATGAGTGCACCCCGTGTGTCTCCCTCAAGAGGCTTATGCTGCTTTCTATCTTTCCCCCCTCCCGTTATTTTGTTTTTTTTTCTTAATGAAGATAGAGCCCGCTATGTCAATGCAAAAAGCATCTCTCCCTTTGCTCTTTGTTTTTAATACCCCTCTGTAACTGCAACCGTATTTTTTAATCTGTCTCAATATAATTTATCTTCCATATGAGCACTCACACATTCGCATTCGGTACTGCAGACTAAGATTTTCTTTTTATAAAGCGCCATACCAATTTCGCAGGGCAACGTCTCCGTTACGTTTAGAAATGCTATTCGAGAAGCACGCTTCTACGTGGGATCAACGCAGTTCCGTCTGTAGAACTACAAGCTCAGGTACATAAAACATTTATATATACCTGCTCTTTCCACTAAAGCATAATCTAGCCGCGTTTGTACAGTGAAACCTCCATATTCGTTATAGGCATCTGTGGAAAATTTCGCCATCAAGGCTCTCGTTGCAAACGTTCACAACACTTGGAAGAGAAACAGTGCAAAGACGGCAAATAATTTTATCAAAAAAGACAGAAAGATTGTTTCTTTAAACAAAAAAAAATCTTACGACGAAAAGTGGAAACTTTCCTTTCCGACATTATGTAACCGCCGTATATATATATATCGAGGTATCACTGTAACAAAGTTATGAGAATAACTTATGAAAATAACTGCCGGCTTTGTAAATCGCATGAACGCCGTCTTGAAAATTTCTAAAATTATCAATGCGTATATCAGGCTATAATGAAAATGTGAGATTTCTAAAGGTATCCTAAGACGTAGCCTGTGTTGCCATTTTTTCTCTTTCACAATATCAAAACCGTCGATCCCCGAAAAATTCACGTGGCTTATTTCAAGTAAACCATATATTGCCGGCGCAATATCGTCTCTCTTTGGGGACGGCAAAACAACAAAGTACCATTCGTCGCTGAACTACAGCAAATTAAGGAAAAAAAAATAATAATAAGGAATCATCATGTAATCTATGGTGACGGTAATTTGGCGTATCCTAGGCGTATCGATAAACGTGCACGTGTATAAATAAAGAATTATATGCCATCCATTTGAACGAAACAGCATGACTTCTACTGGCCATTATGGTAGCAAAGGCAATAAAATACTTGTGCATTAAAAATGTTCTTTTGACAACAGTCAAACGTTTATATTACGCTATAATTACCGAAGATACGCCCCACCGTACCCCCTATAAAAGAAAAAAAGAAAAGAAAATGTGTAAATAATAAAGTTACGATGAGCCCCCTATAATCTCGACAGGAGTTCTAAAAAATTTTACTAAGTTTCTTCAGCTACTATGTGTTACATCGTTATTCCCTCCGAACAGGGACTAACGACTTACCGATTTGATTCGTTAGTGGTTATACTACTTGTGTTTCTCAGCACGCACGGCAACGAAATGTTGGATGGATCTCTAACTAATAAGTGTCGAACAAATCCTATTTACCATACTCGCACTTTTCTTTTTATGGTGAGATCATTCACATTTGAGATATCATCCGGCGATCCACCGGCGCGAATACTAAATTGCACGCAGGATTTGTCAATGTCGCTCACGAACAAATGTAATATAGTGGAATTTAAACATAAGTATTCTTTTTTTTCTGCTTCTCATCCAAAAACTCGGAGTGCACAGGCAGTCGAGCGAAAACGTGAATACGTATTATACGTGAAACTGTCTGTACTCTGCGCATGTGTACATGTATACGCGCGCAAAACACGTGCGTGTAGTGTCAGACATAATAATAATGTCGTGTCTTCCTTACATATAATTGAATTTGCGTGTAGAGTAATAATAATTATGATGAAGTAGAAAGAGATGGAAATAATCATCTACTTGTCCCATCCTCCCCACCAGTCGGGGCCGCCGCTGTTGCCATTATTAGTGGAATTATTGTACGATGAATTAAAGTTACCTCCGTAATTTGAATAACCGCCTGTAATAAGAAAAATAAATAAAATATTGTAAATATTGTGTAAAAAAAACAGCAATTATACTATTTAGATATCCCATCAGCTTTTTAAATTAATATTCTAAAATCAAATATTAATAAAACATTTTAAATTAATATCAGAGAGAAAGAGAGTGGTATCCTGTTATTAATCATTTACCTCCGTAACCACCAGGTCTAGATGGCCCATTACTACGACCAGGCCCAGAACTGGGTTGTTGACGATAATCTCTTGCACCAAAGCCGCCGCCAGCGAAGCGTCCCTTGGTGCCACCACCACCACCGCCGCCGCCACCGCCGCCGCCGCCGCCACCTCCTGGTCGCCGAGAACTACCTCCGGAATATCTCGCTTCGTTAAACATGTCATCCAGCCAAGGTGGAAGGTCCTGATTGGCTTCGATAAGCAGAGATACCAAATCGCGTACCAGATTATGATTCTTATGGTTGAAAAATGATGTGGCCAGACCTGAATTACAAAACGAGACGCGATGTAACATGTATCTATTTTTTGTCAAACGATTGCTAGTAGTGCAATAATTCCAAAGTAAAACAAACCTAAATTGCCCATACGTCCGGTACGACCGATACGATGAACGTATTCCTCAACGTCGCCGGGCAAATCAAAATTAATGACGTGTTTAACGTGCGGTATGTCGAGGCCACGCGCTGCCACTGCGGTAGCGACCAGGATCGGCGCTTTGCCCGCGCGGAAGCGACGCAATGCTTCCTCTCTTTCGCGTTGAGTCCTATCGCCGTGAATGCTGGTAACCGGATATCCCATTGAGGCCAAGTATTCTTCGAGCATGTCGGCACCTTTCTTAGTCTCCACGAACACTAGGGTGAGTGACTCAGCAGCTGCGTAACACAAGCGTAAAGCATTAACCTTTTTATTGCATTACCAATTATAAGTAAATTTTTACACCTGGAAATTCGATGTTAATTCGAGTCTTAACTCAGTACTAGAACTTACTAGGATCTGCAAAGTTGCTAGCCTGCAGCAAATCAAGTAGGTATGAACGTTTGTCATGTTCTTCCACCCATACAATCTTCTGTGTAATATTCTCAGAAGTCGATCCCACACGACCAACCGCCAAGAAGATGTAGTTGCTGAGAAAATCTCTGGCTAACATTTGAATCTCTTTCGGGAAAGTGGCAGAGAACATGAGAGTCTGTCTCTCTCCAGTCGGCGGCATATTATCTTCCTGGACAATGCGTCTTATCTGCGGCTCGAAACCCATATCCAACATGCGATCTGCTTCATCTAGTACCAAGAATCTATAACACAAACATAAATAATGAGTAAATGAAATAATAAATTAATTTGTGTTATTCTTAACTCAATTATTGTTGATGTAAACGTACCGGCAATTATGCAAGCCAATTTTACCGCGTCCCAACATGTCCACCAGACGCCCAGGCGTTGCCACAAGTAGATGACAACCGCGATCCAACTCACGCATTTGATCTACTATGTTAGAACCACCGTATACGACCGCGGGGCGCATACGCGATCGGTATGCGAATTTCCGCGCTTCGTCGTATATCTGCGTAGCGAGCTCTCTCGTGGGGGCCAGCACAAGACCCAACGGATACTGCTTACGCCTGCCGGAGGAGTTCGCTTGCGGTGGTGGCGGTCGCGGCCCGCTCTCGTAAATCTGATTCAGTATTGGCACTAGGAAGGCTGCTGTTTTACCGGACCCGGTTTGAGCGCAGGCCATCACGTCACGGCGATTGATGATGATCGGTATCGCGTACTTCTGTACCGGTGTAGGCTTGTCATATCCTGCCAAGGCGATGCTATTCTTTATTATCTCTGTCAGCTTAACCTCGTCAAACTGAAAAATTAGAAAGCAAGGGGATTAGATTGTGGTGTGTGTGTGTGAAAAATATAAATACCAAATAAAGTCCCGTGTATGTATCGCATACTCACAGATGTGATGTGTGGTGGTATGTTATCTCCGGTAGCCTCAACAGGGATATCCTCGTATTTGCTAAAGTTGATCCCAGTATTGCCAGTACCAAACAGCTCCAGCTCCACTCGCTCATCCCTGGCAGTTGGGACCGTCCAGTCGACTTCGCCTCTGCCGCCTCTGCCACCTCTGTCATCGCCCCATCTCCCGCCGCTACCTCCCATCCTGTCATTTCTGTTGTCCGGCCAACGATCATTTCGAACAGGCTCCTGCCAGCGATCGTTGCCGCTAATTGGTCGATCGCGCTCGGCGTTGGGGTATCTATAATCTCTTCCATTTTCCTGACTGCGCCTATTGCGCCCACCGAAGCTCCCGAAGTTCGCGAAATCGACGTCGCGAGGACTCCGCGAGTCCCGATAACCGCCTCCGGCCCTATCGCGATCATCCCTTCCTCGGTCGCGATCGCGATCTCCCCCTCTGTCTCTGTCAGTAAACGGTCTTGAGTTGGAAGAGTAATTCAAATCGGCGGGTGGATTACCTGTTGAGAAAAAAATTCCACACTTATGTATATTCGTTTCTTCTTTGCTATAAAGCAATTCGATTCCACAAGCTAAGATCAAGCGACATTCTGCTGGCCAGTACACGCTTATCAGCCCCAACATGTCGACTTGCTATATTGTAAGGCATCACTTGATACTCCGCCATAAGAATCACATGCGATAACGAGCATTGAATTTTTTCAAAGCAACCTCGCGAATTAGCAATTTCGACAACTTACTGTACTCACTCGCAACTTTATGACGAAGATGCGGTGGAACGTAGCGGCCCCCACTTGGTTGGCGGGAGCCCTGCAAGTCCAGATCAGCTAGCTGCGGGGCAAAAGAAAGAGAGAGCTCAGGTTAGATCGGAGTCTGGTATTCGCGACCGCGTGACATTCGCGCGGATAAAGTCATTATCATTCGGTTCCCCCGACGATGAGTCATCTCGATCCGCGAAAATCCGACTTGTGCGCTCCCCCCGCCCCGCCCCCTCCCCCGCCGCGCGCAATCCTATCTCGGGAACAGGCGCGAGAGGAAGAGAGAGAGAGAGAAAAAGAGATAGGAGAGAGAGAGCGAGCGCGTCGCGACACGAGGCAATAGGCATGCCGTTCCCGGAATCGCTTGCCGCCATTATACGTAGCGTACGTCACGAGCTGGCCGACGAGTGACGACGGCCCATGATGCTCTCTCTCCCTCTCTCTCGCTTCGATCGGATAAAGGAAATTCCCCTTGCGTTCTCCAGCGAGAACAAGCGAGAATGTTCGCGTTTGGAGATCCCGAAAGGGAAAATCCGGATCGAGATGTGCGAAAAACCGAGAGGAGAAGAACGGGGAAGGGGGAGGGGGAGGAAAGGATTCGCAGGACGCTGGCCCCGAAGGGAACAATGCCTCCTGGCTTCCTGCGGTCCTTTCTCTCGCCCTTCGTTTTTTTCCCTTACCTGCTGCTCTAGACCTGATCCATTCTGGTTGGCTGCATTACTCATATTACTCCGCCTCGGTGCGTAGGTTTCGCAGCTCTGTCGCTTGAAGCCCTTTTTAAGCTCGTCTACTCTTGCTCTCTCTCTCTCTCTCTCACACACACACGCGAGTCGAAAAAATTCCCAACGCGTCCCAACGCGCTCTGTCTCTTTCTAGCTCCTTCGCTTTCTCTCCCTGTCTCTCGCTCGGTCTCTTTGTCGTCTCGCGGACTGATATATACGCCTCGCGCAGGCGATAGCCTCGCTTAATCGCGAATTCGCACCCGATCCTTTATCAGTTCGTCGAAGAACGGCGCGCGCCGGTCAAGTCTTTAGCTGAACACGATACGGAGGGATCCCGGAGGCAACTGGCGTGAAGGAAAGCGCGAGAGGCCCCTGGCCGCACTTGACGTTGACGCAACAAAAATGGCCGAGAAACCGAGCTGCCAAAATGGCGGCGCCCCGACTTCCGCCGGATGTCAGGGGCGACGGGACGCGCGAGTAACCGGGTGGGGAGAACGTTCCCCCTCCCCTTCCTCATATGATCGACGTCGCAGGGAAAAAAAAAAAACGCCAGGCGCGAGAAATCGTAAACTTACATTTAGGAATATTTTGTATATATTTATTAGTTCTTGCACGAGCGCGTGCGATGATATGACTGATCGAAAACGCGGTTAGTAATGATGTCGAGTTAAGTACCGAACTCGCGAGCGAATACATTTTTTTAATTTCATGCGGAGATCAGGATTTTGTTCATGTAGAAAAGAATCCTATCGATAGGTCTGTTCCTTTTTAACTGAACTTCTTACACGGTTTATCTTTCCTCTTTCCCTTTTCATATTGGAGAGAAAAAGAGAAAAGATGAACTGCGAGAAGTTCAGCTAAACAGATCTTTGAGATCTATAATCACAGAGTGGGCGCAACAAACTAGCTATTCTTTGTCTGAATAGATGCATCTGATTGCAAACTAATCAGAGATCCCCACAGGATTTCCTTTCGTCGTAATAAACGTCAATAATTCGGATATATTGGATTATAATAAAAATAATTATGTCGTAATAATTTCAACAACGATAACAAAATCCATCTTTTAGTCAAGTCGCGAACGAGAGATTATGCCATCCAATTAAACATAGGTGCAGGAAAGATTGGTTCTAAAAAAGATCAGTTCGGCTTCAGTTGCCCAAAATACCTCACTGGAATTCGTAGAATTTGTTCGATTGTACAGCGAATGCAGTTTTGTAAATGTTTTCCTTTATTGTACAACATGTCACCAAATTTAGCGTTTAATCTAGTCGTCCTTCTTCGTGTCGGTCTTGCCTCCCCTGATTCTTCCGGTACGACGAGCAGCAATAAGACCGATCTTACGACCGGCGCTGGTGCCACGCTTGACGGTGGACGCCTTACCGATGTGTTGATGGTTACCACCACCGTGAGGATGCTCCACGGGATTCATGGCAACACCACGAACCTGAAAAAGTTTCGAGTGTCTCAAATACGGCGAGGAAGCACCATAGGCTCGATGCAAAAGAGCTTTACGTTCATTCAGTTGAAAAAAATTTCCACAAATTGAAATTCTTCAGGTTTCAAATGTCTAATTGCCATCATTAAGAAAATTGAATTCTCGTTACACATCGTGTCAGCAACGAATGTGAAAATCCGAAGGCATACCTTAGGCCAGCAATTCCTCTTCGCCTTGTACTTATGGTAAGCCCTACCGGCTTTAAGTATAGGCTTATCTATACGTCCACCACCAGCGACGATCCCAACCATAGCTCTGTTGTTAGAAGGAATGACTTTCTTCGCGCCCGAAGGTAGCTTGACCCTAGTTTTCTTGGTGTCGGGGTTGTGGGTTATCACTGTGGCGTAATTGCCAGAAGCTCTGGCCAATCGGCCCCTGTCACCGGTCTTCTCCTCCAAATTGCAGACAATTGTACCTTCCGGCATCATGCCCACTGGCATCACATTTCCAATCTGGAGGTTGGCTGATAAACATTAAATCTTGTCATTAATAAAAATTCATATGTAATGAAGCCAAGAAAAAAACACTCTCTAGATATACAATCAAATTTAAAACATACGGCAAATGAGAGCAAATAAATTTTACAAATATACTATATAAATTCATTTTTATGTTTATGTTAAAGTTACTTTTTATATTTTATATTCGCTATAACATCAGCATTTTGCTCTTATTTGCCTTATGTTTCAAATTTAATATGTAATAAATTCTTATAAATGAGAGTGGTTGTTTTAAATAAAGCATCATTAATTTTACATTGGTCCGTTCAATGTCATTTAGAAATTATCGTTGAGCATACCTTTCTTTCCGCAATACAGGAATTGGCCGGTGTACATTCCCTCTGGCGCGATAAATAATTCTTTACGCGTTTTGAACTTGTAAGGGTCACGGAAGTGCACCACCGCTAACGGCGCGCCGCGACCAGGATCGTGGATGATGTCCTGAGTGAAAAAAGAAATAAACCTCATATAATACCTATTAAACTAGCTGAAAACATTTTAGTAACGTGACAAATGTATTCTCAGAAAGAGCCTCTAATTTGACGTCATCTAATCAATCAGACGTAGGTATGTTAGAAATCATCATGAATACAAGCTGAATCAATTCACCAGGCCTCGAAAATGCCGCTCCGAATTCTACAGTCGTGCTAATTGGAACCATTATGGCCAAATAGAATAGAAAATTGCTGCAAACCTTGACGACACCCTTGATGAATCCATGCCTCTCGGAGAAGTCCAGAGACCGCAGCTTCGGTGCTCCCTTTCTCCTCTTGGTGTGGGATCGGAAGACGGATCCCGCACCTTTACGCTGCGCGCGAATCACTCGACCCATGGCTCAAAAACCTGAAAAGAAATCACGGTATCGGTGAGCCTCGTCGCGACGACACTCTCGCAACGCGCACCACGCTCGTTAACACGTTGTGCATTTCAGCTGGCGCATCTTAACCTCACGATGCCGCTCGAGGTGCGAATCCATCATTTCGCCGGATTCGCGAAAATATCGAGTGTATCTTACGCACGGAAAACGAGGATCACGTAATTGTGTGCTTCTTTCGACAGATTCGTCTCGAGCGCGGTAGATCGATGCGGATAATCCGCGCCAGCGAAAACCCCGTGCGTACCAGAGGAGCCGACATCAAACAGAGGGAAGGGAGGTGAAAGCGGAAGTCAGCCGTGATTGGGGGATACCACAGTGCTTCGCTTGATCGCGTAGTCAACCCGCTAAAACGGCGTTCAATTCAAATTCGTTTCCTGCGTGCACCTAATTCAATTAATTTATATTTTATATACATTTTTGTATTTTGTTATGTTCTAACGAATTAGATGAGCAAATAAATTACGCGTTAATTATAATAGACGCAAATAATTCTTCAAACTCACATCTAAAAAGTAATTTTCTCAACAAAAAAACAATATTGAATTTAAACAATTTTTAATATATTTAATTACTATAATAACTTATTTATATACTAAATATACTTAATCAATATATTTAACTTTATTATATTTAATTACATATTAATTATATAATTATGTTATATAATATAATCGTTATATTACAAAGTCTTACTGTAAAGTCTCATTACAAAATTGCTTTCTTTTAAAAGGAAAATTCTATTAGGAAGATTTGCAATTTTATATGTCATAATTATGCTGAGACGCTTTTTCCTCTCTAAAAAAAATTCAATTTCAGATAATTTAGATAAAAATTGTGAAGCGATAAATTGATAAAGCAATTCCGTAATAAAGAATGATGCGCATCCCCTCCAACTCGTTCACACTAAATCGCCCAGCGAGAGAGCGGTGATAATTCTTTTATTTCAACGCGCGTATTCGAAATGGATGGACGCGTCGTCTCGCTCGTTATCCTTTTACTTTGCACGTTAATAAGTGCCCGAGATGTGATCAGACGGAAGAGAATTGTCGGCGGTATCCCGGCCGCGCAGCCTCCTGAGGACGATCCGGTGGTTTTTGTGAATAAAAACGATCGTGACGCGCGTATCGTCGGCATCCGCGATCCTGACAAGGGATTCTATGTTTTTCGTGGAATCAGATTTGGGCAGCCACCAACCGGTCGATCTAGATTCCAGGTAAAACGTTTATAGATCTATAAATATAAAAGTAAAAATTATCAAATATATAGTATTATAAATATATTATTACAATATGTAATATAAACTTACACACATATAAATTCAATGTGTTAAAAATCTTTGCACATTTAGCAAAATTGGAATTCTTCGCGATCTTTATCTACATATTATATATGGGGTAAGATATTAATGATGTAGTTAATTTAAATTTTAAGATTCTATCAATATTTTATTACATAAGAATTTTTATTGATTTAATGACGTACATTTAAGAATTAAAATTTGAAAAGATACCAATTATAATTGTCAAGCCGTACAATTTATAGAATATTTTTTGTGTAATGCGAGTCGTAATGTACACGTCGACAATGTTAACGACTCAAACCGTTATGTGAACTGTGGCAGAAAGACTAGAAAAGCATCACAATATATGTGATAATTAAATTCAATGACCTGTGGAGTAAACGTGTGCGTCACTTTAACGAGCAACCGCGAATATTAATAGCTATTCCATGTAAGAACAAAAGGCCGTGGTTTTTTTTGCGTATTTTTTACACCATTATTAATCAATAACGCGCACGATCAGGCTGAACGGAACATCCTTTTATCTCTCAGTGTATCCTGTCACACACATACAATGGTCCGATTTAATGAACTTGATACGTGTTATCAAGTTCATTAAATTCGGACAGTTCTGTCCGAAAAACAAAAGGAAGCATAAAACAAACCATATGAGACGCAGGAAATGATACGTTATTTAACAAATATTAATTATATAATTTGACATATCGGTCAAACATAGACAATTAATCACTCATTATAATAACTAAACATAATTCTTTCTCTATACTTTTTAAACATTTATATATTTCTTTTATGCAATTCAAATCAAATTACAAATTAACGTTAAATAATTTTAACAATTACTACCAATACAATATATCAGCCATTATTGGCTTTGACTTTTTCTTATGCTTTATCAAGCCTCGTAAAAAAATAATAATAAAGTTATCAATGTTATTAAATTAACATCTTCATTTAATAAGAAAAAAAATTTTTTCAGCGAGCTTCGCCGGTGTATCTCGAAGGAGAGTACAACGCCACTACGTGGGGACCTCCCTGTCCTCAGCCCAGTCACAATGAACCCGATAAAATCATCGGAAGCGAAGACTGCCTCTTCCTGAACGTCTTCACCCCATCGCTTCCAGATTCCAGCGGCGGCTATCCCGTACTGGTATGGATCCACGGTGGTGGTTTTAGGAGAGGTGCGGCGTGTCAATACGAAATGAGACACCTGATTAAGAAGAAGCTGATCGTCGTGTCTATCCAGTACAGATTAGGGACGTTAGGTAATTAAGATACGCTAAGCAAGGAAGGAAAGTGATCTCACCGAAATCTCTTTCGTTTTAGGATTTCTGAGTACAGGTACACAGGTGATGCCGGGAAACAACGGTATGTTCGACATGGTGCTGGCTATCGACTGGGTGAAGGATTATATACATTTCTTCGGCGGTGATCCAAACAGGATAACAGCCTTCGGTCACGGCACCGGCGCCAGTTCCGCTATAATGCTGTCGTTATCAAAATTCTGCGAAAGTAATCCCCGATAGCACGATTTATCACGCTCTGCGTAACAATTAACGCGTCCTTCCTCGTCGTTGACGAATCATTCTATTTCTGTAGATCACTTCCACGGTTTGATCGCAATGTCCGGCTCCGTTTTATCTCACTTCGCTGTCGACAAGGACGCCTCCGAGACCGCCAGATACGTAGCCCGTAAAAACGACTGTCCCACAGACGATGCGCGAAGAATGGTGGACTGCCTGCGAGAATTGCCGGTCGAAAAATTGATCGGCGTCGATTCCCAGTTGGAGAACATCCGTGCGACTGCCCGAGGTTTCGTCTCCGGCTTGGCCAATCTGCTGACACCAGGTCCTGTGATGGAAGGTCCCAACGACGGGAGGTATAGTGCAAAAGTATCGAGATTAAGATATTACCAAGTTGAATTTCTTTTTAAATCAAACTTACCGTTGATCGTTTTTAAAAGATCGCTTCCGAACTTCATGACCACATCGCCGGAGGAATCTTTGAGGCTCGGCGATTTCCCGTCTATCCCGCTATTAACGGGAGTTATGAAGGACGAAGCGGGAGGTGCCGTTCTCGGTCAATACAGAGATGAAGTGCAAAACAAATTGAGCACGGTCCCGGATTATTTGACCAGTGAGTTCATACCGTATCTGCAAGGAACTATTCCAAATATGCAGAACGGATCGCGACTCGTCCCGCAAGCTTTCCGCGGCTACCTCAACATGTTCCAAGGTGACGGCAAACCGAATACTATTGAAAAAGTTGCGGAAGCTTTGGGCGATTCGCTTTACAACGCTCCCGCATTTCTGACCGTCGACCACTGGTCCAAAAAAGCTAATACGTTTTTGTACACTTTCGACCATAAGGGAAATAGAAACTATGGTAAAGACTTTCTCGCCGGATTGCCAATCGTCGACGCCAAACGATCCTCGGATGGTACAATTTATAATAACTCATGAAATACATCATGTCACATTCTTACATATATTGATATAATTAACAGTCTCGTTTGTAGGTAATTTGAATCACGGCGACGATCTAGGATTCATCTTTGGTCGAAACACAATTACCGGCGAAAAAGTGAGAGATGGCGGAAAGCCGGACGAAGCGGATGAGCGCGTAACGGACATTTTTACAGATATAATAGCAAATTTCGCGAGAAGTGGCACGCTTAATGCACCTGCTACAAACGTACAATCTAATGACAGCACTTGGGTGCCAGATATAGTTCCACAATTCTCGGACGACACAAATTCCTTCGTCAGTATCACGACAGCTCCGAAAAGCATGAAAAATTTTAGGTAACGTCGCGAAAACCTTATGTTAAATATTAGTCGGTACATCATTAAACTATTCGCCATGTATTAATTTCAGATACTGTGAAATGGGATTGTGGACGGTTGTACCAGAACGATTAAAGTCACCGATATGCAGTTTATACAAAGTACCTCTTCAGTTGATAGAACAAGGTGCCAAAGTACCGATATCCGTAATTCAGAAACCTGTCGACTCGGTCAACGAATTTATTCCCAAATCTGGCCTTAATGTCGCGAACAAACTGACAGATCAGAAAATCGAAGAACCGAAGAAAAAAGATACAACGCAACGGAAAACGAATGATTTACCGAAGGTACTTGTACCGCAGATACCATTCGGTTAAGTTATTATTCATAACACGTTTATTTTATACATATATGTTCTTTTATTGCAAAGATATATGAAATAAAAGTATCTAATAATTTGATTTTACCTCATCGTGAAACAAACTTAGAGATTCTATTACATCATCGTCAAACGATTCCCATACATCCGGGTCATCTTGCAACTTTGTTATTTTTTCACTGATTTTAGGATTGTTTTCTACCCTTTTGTCCTCTTTTTCTGTACACAACACGAAATCTTCAGATTTCTCATGTTGCTTTTGTTTTTCTGTATTAAGGGGTGCAGCCAATTCACATTCCATCTTACTTTCAGCATTAACATTTGGAATTATATCTATATCTAGCTGCCTTTGCTCCTTGTTTTGTATTTTGTCTTGTTCTTGTATTACATCTTCAATCTCTACTACTTCGATCTCCTCTTCGATCTCCTCATCTGACTTGCCATCCGTCTGAGACCAATTTATATTCATGCCATTCATATTCTCTTCTATTAATTCTCCATCGTAGCCGTACCGTACTATTACATCTTGTGTTTCAACGATTTTTTGCCGTTTATGTGGTATTGCATCTGCATCTTTAAAAACTTTTTCAACCCTACTTCTTTGGTCTGATCTACAAATAGTCGCAATTTCTTCTACTTGATTTTCAAGAACAAGTTCATTATCAGGTTCCCTAGAAGTTAATATGTATTTAATCCATTTAATATGCAAATAAAACTGCTAATATAATCTTATCTATACAAATTCTTGCATATAAAAAATATAAACTTAAATAAGATTTGAAATACTTACTGCTGCCGAGGTAACTGTAACGTAGGCGCAATAGGATGTATAATTTTTTCCAACTCGGCTGATACGAGTTTTGCTTCTCGAACAATATTTAAATCGATATCATGAGCTGCTCTGTGCGATATTTCTAGAGAGTATTGTACAGGAAATGACGATGCCACATGTGGATTCATTTGTAAAGCTCTTAATACTCTAAATAGTTCCAAGCGGCATACGTTGTGATCTTTATAAAATTTCTGTTCAGCAGAGTCCAGATAAAGATTGTATAATAAAGGTATCACGGTATTCTGCACGTTCTAAAAGAAATATTTAGGAAAATCATAGTAATGCATTGTTATAACAAAATAAATCTAGATGAACTTACCTTGTAAAATGTTTGTTTCAGCAGGACATTACCGCTGAGAATTATATTTTGTAAAGCGATAAGAGCCTCTTTGCACAAATCTGCATCTAAATGTGCAGTTTTAGAAGAACTTTTAGAAGAACTCTCTCCATTATTTAAAACTGTACTGTTTTCGTACTGACTATGTTTGAAACGTTTTATTGCCCGTTTAGACAAGTGCGTTTTTGGTTGCACCTAGACAAAATGATAATTGTCTATTAGATAACTTTTAATTAAATAAACATATAGCTTATTTGAAGTTTAGGCAAAAAGTTTACAATCTCTTCATAAAAATTGTAATTACAATAGTAATGAAACCAGTTTAGAAACTTTGTAATTATTAGATGAGTACAAAGTGAACATTTAATTGATAATTAACCAAAACTTACAGTTAATAACACGCAACTTCGTTCTGGTGTTATGTCCTTCAATATGCACGTAACACATTCATTTGCAATTGTCTCTACTCCTGACAACGAACTCGTATTAATTAACCACGAACAGAGACATTTGTAAGTACATATCCTGACATTTCTAAAAGGTTTATTATTATCACTAAATGTCATTTGATCTTCGGAGCTGACACTTGTCCATTGCAATGTTTGTTGGAACAACTGTAATATGATCGTCCCATATGGTACTAGTTCCTGAGCAAATCTGAAACATACATTTACATTACGAACCATGGTTACCCAATGATTAGTCAATTGAACATATATTTTATCAAAATTTATATGCATATATACCCATTTATAAGCGCATCCAAAACTGCGAGCAAACTAATGTGCAATTTTGGCAAGACAATGTACAGCATCTGTTCTTTAAAGGAAGTTTTATTTTTTAAATTTAACGGCGTTATTGCCAATCCTCGACATAAAACTCCCAGAATATCGTGAGGTAGAACAGAATTTCTTGCATCATATCCGCTGAAATTTTAAATTAAATGTACATTTCAAGATTTTAAATAAGAGACGTTAATTTAATATCATTTAATAAATGTAAGACTTATAGATCAGTACCGTAACATTGAGGAAAGATAAATGCACAAATTTGCGAATCTCTGTTTCTGCCCATCGTAGTATTGCTTTACGTCTCTATTAGAAATAGGTGGTAATTCTAATTGATCCCAGACGTCTACACTCTCCAGCTCTATTAATCCAGAAAACAGTTCATCCATTATAGCATGCAAGCTATTACAAAGCAACGCTTCGTTGAACATAGTTGCAGTGTATACAGATTTAGAAGGTGGTGGTTTAAACGAGCGTTCTGTCGCTTTGGACAGAAGAACGTAGCATCTTGCGCTAGCGTTAACCAAGTTCTCTTGCCTGGAGTCAATTTGTAATAAAATCATTCTCTTTATCAGTCCCTGGAAAATGTTAAAACAATAAATTTCTTATTCGTACGCGATCTCTTACGTTGATCAGCATTAATGTGCAACGTAAAACATTTAGCTAATAGAACAAAGTTTGTCGAATCCATTACCTGAAACTTTTCGCAAACTTCAGGATAATGATAAAGTAGAACAGCGACCAAGTAGTAGACTGCACCACATTTTGCGTCTGGTTGCAATGCGCTAAGAACGTTTATAAGCTGTTTCACATGTTGCATGGAGATCTGTTTGTGCAATTCTGGAATTTCCTTGCAGTGCTCGATTAAAACTCCCAACACTTTACACGCCAGTGTCAAGTTTTTCGTGCTAGTGTGCACATTTTCCAATACTTTCGTGGTGTTGACTATCCAGAATAAACCGTACTTGGAAAACGTATCTCTGGAACACGTGGGCAAGATTCTTTCCAGGATAGGTAAAAAATCGCATCCCCCTTGATTTATACGTGAATTCACACTTTTTATAAAGAAATTTCGAACAGCGTCAACCTGAAATGTAAACGCGAGCGACAAGTTATGCGAAGCGTCTATAAAAAAATTGAGAAAGAGCGTAAGAAGATATTTGCTTCGCGTACCTCGTGGCTATCAAACGGCACGTCGTTGTTATCGACCATTAAATCGTGCACAAACGATTCGAATTCTTCCGAATTCACGTCGAAGGAATTCACTAATCTGGTTATCGATGCCATTGTTACGTATTTATTATTATTTCACTTATAAAAATCACATAGTTTGATTCTTTTCTTATGTGTTTCCTAGAGGAACGGCTTCCTATTGAGGTTAAGTTAAACTGGGTACACGTGGTAAAGCGAGGTTAGATGTTTACGATATCTCGTGTAAGGAAATGCCGACAGATGGCGACACGTCAACCTAATTACATTTTAAAACGTATATTCGACTTTGACTATCGATCTAGTCAAAATATACGAGAATAAGAGCATAAACAGATGATTTCTGATACTTTATCATGATCTCGGTTAGCGTAGAAAACTAATTGCATTCGTATTTCTAAATTACATTAGTATAATCTGTAAAAGATTCGATATAAATATATATAAATAATAAATACTACGATCGCACGGAGTTTGCTTGACGAAACTGTCGCGCGATTGCGTTTTGCCAACACAATATATTAAGTAGCGGATTCTTTTAGTTAAATGCAATTGTAAAGTTTAAAAAAGAAGGATTGTATGATGCTTTGACCGTCTTTAAGCGGAGTCTACAATTTATAAGGCTTTAAGACTTTAAGCCAGAAGAAATTGACCAATCATAGTCGATTATTATTTTTACATTGGACTGCGATTTGTGAATTTCTTATGGCTTAAGGCTTAAAGCTTAAAGCTTAAATTTTGCGCCTTAAATTCTCATTGTAAACTCCGCTTTATTCCGAAGCTTTACTAAAGGCCAT